GCAGATCTCTTGGAATTCGTTCTCTCAGAGCTGTGAGCTGCCACATAGGAAGTCCAACTATTCTGAAGCCACTAGGCTGTGAGAAAACCCAAGCCCCATGGAGAAGCCACTTGGAAGAGCACTAATCAACAGGTCAGCTGATATCCTAGTGAACAGCAATTTTGCTAGAAGCTATTTTGGGAGTGGATCCTCCAGCCCTCAGCAGCCACCGTGAGCATCACAGATGAACTGCCCAGCTGAGCCCTTCCCAAATTCTTGACTTATGGGAATTATGAGCAAGATAAAATGGTTAAGATGATTAGTTTTGATGTAGCTTGTTACACACCAGTAATAACCAGTATAGTGCTCAAAAACTGTTTGTTGAATGAATAACCAACTCCTTTGCAATAGTGCTATAATATTGTCCCTGCCCTATTTAAGAGCCCTTCATAGCTCCCCCGTTGCCTGAGTAATAATGTTTTGTGCCCTTAGTTGGCATTCAAGGTCCTCCATAATTTGGCTTCAGCCTTTGGTTTTCAGACCTCATTGCCTTCTATCACTTGGTGTGGATCTGTGTGCTAAAGTATGTTTCAGCGGATTCCTAAACATGCAAATACTCTTCCCACATCATGTCTTTGCTTATATGTACTCCTTTCTCCACCCCAATACCCTTTCCTCCCACATCCGCACCTCTGTGGGTTGATAGTCAACTTGTCTTTGTGATGTGACTCAGGTGCCTTCTCTAGGGAGCCCTTCTGTTTCTGGCCCAGAGTTTGTTTGGTTTTTTTTTTTTTAAGCTTCTGTTTCAGAGTTTACTGTGTCCTTAACTTCTTATGTCGGCTATTGCACTGTAAGCTCCTTGTGTTAGGTGGTGGGTGGTGAGGGAGAGGGGGTCCTAGCGCAGAACAGGGTGCACAGAAATGTCCTGTGTGGCTTCCTAGGCATGAATCCCTGCAGAGCTTGTGTTGAGACCTGCCAGCATGTGGTATGGCACATGGCGTCTCCCAAGCCAGGTGTCTGTGTGTTGGGAGGGAGGCAGGGTATTTGAGAGAAGCAAAGGCTTTAGCATAAGCTCAGGTTCAAAACTATAACTGTGCTGCTTGCTGTGTGGCTTTGAAAGAAATGCTTGAACTCCCTGAGCTCCAGTTTCCTTATTTGGAAACTAGAGGCTTTGGATGTGAATGTGTAGCAAGGGCCTAGATCAGCGCTTGGCACGTGGCAAGCCATTAAGAACTGCTTGCTGAACAGATACAACAGAATTGCTGGTTGGCTTCTTGACGATCAGTTGTATTATGTCAATGTTGGAGAGAACTCCCCCCCCATCCCCAAATAGACAAATAAATAAATAAAAAGAACAAAGGACAAGAGAACAGTGAAGAGGCATAGTGGAGACCACCTAGCCACCCCCAACCGTATTAATCTGTGTGATCTTTATCAAGTCCTCACCGTGGTCTCAGTCTTCTCATCTGTAAACTGAGTGGTGGGCATTGGAATCTAAGCTCCCCTCCAGCTCTGACATTCCAAGGGCATTAAAGAAAAAGGATGAATCACCCCTTCAAAATACTAATATGAGCTGGGCCCTCCCCCTGCTGTCCCCATCCAGCACAGCTAAGAGCTCTTAATACGCAGCCTTCTTTCCTCCTGCAGCTGCCACCAAACTTCAACCCTCTTTCCCAGGAGTCTCAAGCAAGACTGATAATGGACCCCTGGCCTTCTCCATCTCAACAGGGAACCAGATCCCATTCCCAGACTCTGGGGGCCAGAGGGCCCTCCCCTAAGGGGGCTGGCTTCCCGTGGACATTTGGCCTGAGTATACTTGTGCACGAAGTGTGGGGGTGCTGCAAGGGTGGAAGAAATAAAGGGAAGAGTTGAAAACAGAGGGTTGATGAGTGAATTCTTGTCATCAGGGCAGGAGGGCTGGGGTGCTGGGAACCCTTGCCATTCTCTTCCAGGATTTTGAAAAAGTTGGTATGTCTGTATCGGTAATAGCTATAAATCTCCATCCTGGGGAGCCATGGTCCCCCTGCAGCTGCATAAATTCGTGGACACAGGCTGTCAAAGCCTCAGAAGACACCAAGATCAATTTTCCTTCTTACAGGAAATAGGCACTAGGTGACCGCAGAGGACAGTTTTCTTGCCTCTCTGCCCAGAGCTCTCTACTCCTTTCCGCGTTGATGCTATTATTAGTATTATCAACATTAATAATAATGGAGACATAACCGGTTGTGCATTAGTCACAGTGTTCCGCGAGCCAGCACCTCCTTCGCGCTCTTCTGGGACCGGCTGGGTCCTGCTGGGTCTTCTCTCCGCGTCCGGAACGGCTGCGGTCCTGCCCTTTGGGTCTTGTCTGTCCGGTGGTCTGTCTATCGCCGGTCACGTCTGCAGCCCGGGTCCTCCTAGCTCCCGCGGGCTCCCGCTCTGAAAGCCGAGAAGCTCGCCGGCTGCGAGCGGGTCTTCCAAGTGGGCAGGGGTGGGGAGGAGGGGCGGGCGGGCGGGCGGGCCAGCGGGCGGGGGGAGGAGGGGGCGTCGCGAAGGGAAGACCTCGCATTGTAATCCAATGACATTGCCAACGTGGGGGTGGGGGCGCTGGCCTCGGCGCGCTCTCCGAGTTTTGGCTGCCCGCCCAGCTGGGAATAACTCTCTTCGCATAATTCGCGTGTTTACCAGGCATGAAAATTCTTGCTTTCGGCTCCCCCCACCACCCCACCCCGAAAGCCCCCTCCCCTTCCCCCCTCCCCACCACCTCCGCCCCTCGCAAGTGAAACTCTGTCTAAAAAAATATTGGCCCGGGGCACAGAAAGTTTTGCATAAATTCATAAGTGATGAATGGCTGATTTTAACGTTATTTGGGTATTTGTCAGAACTTAACAAATATACATGGGGACGGCGGTTCATAAACTTAAACATCTCAATATCCCCTTTCTTCTGGAAATAAATTACGTTTGTTTGCCTGGCTTGGAGTCTTAAGGTAGCCGACATTAGGAATATTTTAAAAGCCATCATCCATCGAGCATGTCTCCCAGGCGCCAGGAAGATTAAATGAAAGAATCATAAGATGGAGGTCTTTAACTTTTAATCCTTTTACAATGAAGCCTCAGATAGTCGCGGGGGCAGGGTGCCCTCTCCGGGGGGAATAATGCCGTTATTCCTCGGCTCTCAGTTAATGAATACCCTAACGTCTGTCCCACGGCTGACGGAGGCAGCGCCGGGGAGGGGGCTCCGGCTCCCGAGCCAGGCTATTGAAATGAGGAGCCACCGAGGCTGCGTCGGGAGGGAAGAAAGCGCCCGGCTGGAGGGACAGGGCGGGCGGGGCCGGGGGCATTGAGACTGCGCTGGGGACCCGGCGCAGGTTTGAAATAATTAGCATAGATTCGCCGGGACTGTGGACTGGGGGTGGGGGTTGGGGAGAGGGATGCCGGGAGGGTGGCGCTGGGAGGTGGCGGGGGTAGGGGGTGGGGAGGGAGCAAAGGAGAGCGACTTTGGAGTCCAAGATAAATAAAAGGAGCGCTGAGCAGTGTCAGGAAGCGGGCCCACGTGGAGCTGCGCGGATGGGCGCCACCGCTGACTGAGGCGGAGGGACGCACGCGAGTCCAGTGCCCGCCCCAAGAAGTTGGCTTTTTAAGGGGTGGGGTGGGGGTGACGTTTTGCACGTCCCTTTAAGAGATAACACTTTTTTTGCCCCTATCTATCCCCAAAGCTCAAAGATCCCGATTCTGATTTGTCCTCCCTTCCCACCCCCAAGTGGACGGAGTAAGTGTCCAGAAGAGGGGGCGCACCCCGTTCCCCATTGCAGATCCCAGTGGTGGTATTTTTCACCCAAATTCGGACCCCTCTGAAGCCCCTACCCTCTGAGTGCTCCTTAGGTACTAGGAGAAGGGGAGGTGAGTGTGAAATCTCCCGGCTATCCTCAGCAATTCTGGCTGAGGGCCTGGGGTTTCGGGGGCTCAAACCTGTGACTGTTGATTCCAAGGGATCGCCTCAGTTAGCACCACCATAGCTTCCGGGTATGCAAAGGGTTAACTCGGGCTGGATATTGAGGTGGGGGGGGTGCGAGGCGGGAGGGGTGGCGGGATCGGGGTGGGCGCGCTCTGATCTCCCCCCCCCATTCCTCGGGGGTCAAGTTTCAGCGGCACTCCGCCCCCAGGGTAGGTGTGAAAGACACGTGTCCCCATTGTGAAGGGCCTGTCAGGCAGGACAAAGCGGCCGCCCACCCTCCCCCCCTCCCCTCGGCCCAGCCTGGGGTCAGCTCCAGGGGGCCGGCTGGGTGTCGAGGTCACGACGGGCCCGAGCTTTGGTGACATAGGGAGAAAAAGCTGGGAGACTGGCCGGAGGCCACGTGATGCCCAAGTGAGGAGTTTGAGAAGGGCACCCCCCCATGAAAAACCGAGCGGTCACCTCCGTCACACCAGAAGAGGGGATGAGCCCCTTCTCCCAACAGGCGTAGTAAGCACAGCGGCACCCCCCACCCACCCCTCCCACCCCACCCCCCATCAATCACCAACACAGAGAATCAGCAGTGTCGAGCGCAGTCGATTTTAGTGGTTTTCTTTAATCCTGCTCTGCACTTCTTTCTCATTTACTACACGGGATATTATAAAGAATAAATAGCAGATACTCTTAATTTACAATGATTAGTCATTCCATTTGTTCTCTATATTTACAATAACTGTAAAATAACATTGAACTCTATAGCTTCTTCGAGGTCCAAGGAAAACCAAAACACTTTCCGAAGAATGGAAAATAGCTTTTAAAAAGTCCTTCTACAAAAGTTCTAAAACCAAAACACTTTCCGAAGAATGGAAAATAGCTTTTAAAAAGTCCTTCTACAAAAGTTCTCCCCTCCCTCTCTTTGTACTTTAAGAAAAAATAACTTTTCCCCCCTGCTTCGCCATGCGAAGGGCACTGGAATATAAATAGCAGGTTAACATTATTAGCAACAACCAGAATAAGTCTCTCTTTTCTCTGTTCTTTTTTTCCTTTTGCTTAAAATTTTTTTTAAAAATACAGTAGAAGCCGGTAACTTTTAACGTATAATACTGACCTTTTAATAAGTAAATTAAAACTGGGACCGTATATACACACACATATACATTCCTACACAGTTAAACAGTGCATTACATGAACCAGAAAGCTAGGTCTCTGTAGCCAAAAAAAAAAAAGTTCATTGAATCCCCTCGCGAGAGGGTGGTGGAACTGGTTGGAGACGGTGCGGGGGGCGTCGGTGGGGATCGATCAAGTGTCCGGGTGCGGGCAGGGGGCCCTGAGTTCTAGCATGAGCACTTGCACTCGGAAATGATGGGGTACTGGATGGGAATCCAGCCGCAGCGCTGGCCCCCGCGCCGCTGACAGCGCCACCGCAGCACCGTGAGGTGCACGGACTTGGACGGCTTGCACACCATGCCCTCGGGCACGGAGCACGAGCGCTTACTGAAGCAGCTGCCCACCTTCACGTAGCGCGGCCAAAAGCGGCTGCCCAGGTCGTTCCACGCGTACAGCACCGGGCAGAAGGTCTGCGACCACAGCCACATCTGTAACTTCCTCCGCAGCTTCTTGCTCAGGCGCTGCTTCTTCCCCGGGGCCAAGCCCTCGGAGAACTCCAGCCCTTTGATCTCGCTCGGCATGGCCCCCGACGGCCGCT